CGGACACCCTGGGGCACCGTCACGTCCTAATCCCTGCCCACTCTAGCACCTTATTCCTCTACCGAGTTGGCTTTCCTTTAGGGCCCCTGGCCTTGTTCCTGCCCCAGTATGTTCCCCGGGGCGCCGTTGTGGAATCCTCACGCAGAAGCCCTGTCCTCGCGAAGACCCCAGTGGTGACTCCAGCCTCGCCACCATGAACGGGGTCCTGATCCCCCACACGCCCATTGCTGTGGACTTCTGGAGCCTGCGCCGGGCTGGCGCCGCGCGGCTCTTCTTCCTGTCGCACATGCACTCGGACCACACGGTGGGCCTGTCTAGCACTTGGGCCCGGCCCCTCTACTGCTCCCCAATCACTGCCCACCTCGTGCGTCGTCACCTACAGGTACTGGGCTGCAGTTGGTATCTGAGAGCTGGTCCAGGCATTTGGGTGGAAACTTCCGATGTCTTCTTAGGCTTGGAATCACCGAGTGGGATCCGGAAGGATTGAGTTTTACACATTCAGAAATTGAGCCCAGAGGTTCATGTTTAGTTCATAATAGGAGCGTGACTTGCAACCGACCTACTGAAGATGTTTTAGCTCTAAACTGGGAGATCATTGAGTTCAGCCAAGAGAATTATAACTACTTTTTAATTCACCCAGTGTGCTGGGTAAATCTGGATTCTCCCGATTCAGTAAATATGGTTGGTGTGAGTGCTAAGAATCTGGCTGGATTTTTGTTTTTTAAACCATTGCCTCCAAGGGATTATTATGCTCAGGAGAAAATTTGAGAATCTTTGACTATTTTCAGACTTGCAATTGAAATCCTAATAAAGGTTGGGATAGGGAGTGGGAAGAGAAAGACAGACTCCTGATCCTGCAGTGTGCGCGTGTCTGTGGCCTAACCAACTGTTTTGGCAGGTCTCTAAGCAGTGGATCCGAGTCCTGGAAGTTGGTGAGAGCCATGTATTGCCTCTAGATGAAATTGGAAGAGAGACCATGACTGTAACCCTCATCGATGCCAATCACTGCCCTGGTTCTGTCATGTTTCTCTTTGAAGGATACTTTGGAACCATCCTCTACACAGGTGGGCCTCCCAAGACTTCCCTTCTACTTGCCAGCTAAGACACTACTTTGAGCAGCCTTCACTCATAAAAGAGGTCCACAGGCCTTCTACTTCCCCCCATATAAGCACAGTGAACCTTCTCAATTGATTGCCCATCTTTGATGGTTCAAACCTTGTAAAGAATATTAAAAACAGCAGGTGGACACATTTCCACAAAGAAGCTGTATTGCACAGGGCACATAATAGTTTTTCCATGGATCAGTAAGCAAGTGCCCGTTGGTGGTTGGAAGTGAGAGAGGCTTGTTTTTTATCTTTTTGTCTCTGACCCTCTGGCTCCCCCTAATACATCCTTCCAGGTGATTTTCGATACACGCCATCCATGCTGAAGGAGCCAGCCCTAACACTGGGGAAGCAGATCCATACTTTATATTTAGACAACACCAATTGCAACCCATCCCTGGTTCTTCCTTCCCGACAAGAAGCTGCCCAGCAAATTATCCAGCTCATTCGAAGGCATCCACAACATAACATAAAGATCGGTGAGTTGTTTCCTTTTTCTCTCACCCATAGCTAGAAAATCTAGGTTCTTATATATATATATATATTTTTTTTTAGTGTTTTTGAGACATGGTCTCACTTTGTAGTTGAGACTGACCTGGAACTCACTGTGTAGCCCAAGCTGGTCTTGAACTCTCAGCGATCCTCCTGCCTCAGCCTCCAGAGTGCTGGGATTATAGGTGGTCGGCACCATGCCCCGTTTAGGTTCTTATATCTTTCAAGTCTGTGTATCTCTCACTTTCACCATGAAACCTACTCTAACCACTTTATTTAAAATTGTAGCCTGATCACCATCCACACAGCCACATTTCCAACTCTTCCCTGTATCAATCCAGTATTTTCTGTCTTTTATAGTACTTACAACATCCCCATAGTGTCTATATTTAGTGTGGGTGTGGTTTTTTTTTGAGATAAGGTCTTGCTATGTAGTTCTGCTGGCCTTGAGCTCACTGTGTAGCCCAGGCTGGGCTCAGACTTTCAGAAATTCTCCTGCCTCAGTCTCCCAAGTGCTGGGATTATAGGTGTGCACCACCACGCCTAACAATTTATTTATTTATTTACTTTGAGACAAGGTCTTGCAATGTAGTCTAGGCTAGCCTTAAACTCTGGATCCTCCTGCCTCAGTCTCCCGAGTGCTGGAATTACAGGCGTGTGCCACCATGCCCGGCCATGCACGTTTTTAATATGTTGTTATTATTGTCTGTCCCCCACTGCCCCTGGTGTGTATACGTGCACACACAGATATAAACTCCTTGACCTTATGGATAGAAGTGGGAAGAAGTCTGGCATGTCTGTGAAGCAGAGTAGCAGCAGCCAGTGTGACAGTGCACAGTGAGCAAGGAGGCTGGAAGGCAGGAGGGGCAGGATGGCTATTATGAACTTGACCCTAAACCCAACGAAGACCTATGAAGGGTCTGAAGTAGAAGAGGGACATTATTGCACCCATCACCTTATAATGTACTCCATAATTTACATCTTTGTTACATTTACTTTTTGTCTGTCTCCCCACGGTAGAATGTAAGTTCCCTGTGACAAAGGTCTTTGCTTTACTATGGATAAATTCTTATGTTAGTTAATTCCTGATATAGAAGTATTCAATAAATGTGTTATAGGAATTAATGAAATTTATCAGAACAAAGATATGAGTGTTATGCTTTAAATTAGATACAATATTAAAAGAGCTGTTTGCTTTCTCTAGTGATTCCACAATGGTACAAAACATTTTGGGAAAGCAGACATGGTGGTGTAGTCCTGTGATTTAACTCTGGGAGGCTGAACAGGAGGATTGTAAGTTCGAATCCAGCCTGGGCAATTTAGGAATTTAGTAAGACTCTGTCTCAAAATAAAAAAGAACTGGGTGTGTAGCTCAATGTGAAGGTCTTGGATAAAATCACCAGTACAATTTTTGGAGTTATCTTTTTGAGAGATAGTTTGTAAAAAATCAATTTTTGTTTCAAAAACAATTTAGCTCTAGGTAATTTTTTTTTTTTTTTTTTGAGTAGGAAAAATTTATTGAGAGAAAGATTCTGTCTAAGAGAGACAGAAAGGGGACCGGAGGGGGGTTGCCCCTGGTTGTTTCTAAAATTACAGTAAGTCCATATACACACACAAAAACCATTATGAATACTTCAAAAAGGAATATCCCAACCCTGAAAGTGAGGTTAAACAAAACCACTGAGAAAATTACAATGCTAAGGGTGAGGAAGTAAAAAAAGATTAAGATGCAATCTGAATATGTGCCATTTCCCCAAGATGAATGTGATTATTATGTATCACAAACATATACTAATAAACTATATACCTGTCAAGATGATTATCAAATTGACTGAGAAATATTCCTTACTCATAGGATTGCTTAACTTCTCATGAGGAAATATCAGCCTTAACTATTCTTGAAATTGTCAATGCAGAATTTTTTCAGAGGAACATTGCTGGGTAGGAGGGTGCTGGTAGAGCTTGATTAATTTTGTAAATATATAAGTCCCTACTAGTAAAAAAGTATCCAGTAGGCAGTGGGATATAAAAATCAGCAAAATATGGTCCCTGACTTTTAAGGGTTAAGAGTCTAACAAGGAAAAACCTAGAGACAAGAAAAAAATGGGAATACATAGAGAGGAGGAAAAAGTCAGCTAAATTTGTGCCCATAGACAGAAAATTTGAGCCATATTTAGCAATAAAGTAGATATAAAACAAATACATGTTCTTTTAAGGGGTTCACAATTTGGTTGTAGATTTGAAATAGAATTCAGAAAACATCTGAGAAAAAGTACTAAATAACCTCCTAGCTCTGTTAACATAAACCATTACCCAAATTCATATCTCCATTTCTTTTTTTGTTTTGTTTTGTCTTTTGAGGCTGGGACTCACTATGTAGTTCAGGCTGGCCTCAAACTCACATACTGTCTGCCCTCTGCCTCCCAGGTGAGCTAGGATCACAGGTATGCACCACCACGCCCAGCTCCTCTCCATGTATTTCTATCTGAGCCTTCCAATTTGCATCTTTTCATCCATACCATTAAATAACACTGCTGCTCCCCCCACCACACCCTGTTCTGCTCTCATTCCTCGCTGTAACAAGCTGTTTTCCTGCTTCGTACTGCTGAATGGCTCCTCTTCACTTACAGAATTAAATCCCATCCTCGGCAGTACACACAATGCCCTCTAATAAAGGACCTCGGCTTACCTCTCTGGTGTCATTTCTCACCAGTTCCTTCTTAGTAACACTGAAGTGGCTCCTCTTAAAATGTTTCCAGCATTAACTTTTCTTGCCAGGATTAACCATCTTTTGAAGACTTCGCTCAGCTGTCATTTTCCAGAAACTTTCCCTAATTCTGTCCACTGCTAGCTCTTTTGTGCTCTTACCACACTGTGTGCTTGTGTCTAATATTGCCCTGAAATGCAGTTTCTGAGTCTGCAGGTACCATATTTCCCCCAAAGTAAGACCAGGTCTTATATTAATTTTTGCTCCAAAAGACACAATAAGGCTTATTTTTAGGGGATGCCTTATTTTTTAACTTATAAAAATCTATATTTATTCAAATATAGTCATACTAACTTCTAGAACATTGTCATAACTCTCCACAACCCCAAGTTCTGTTCTGAATTTCTTTTTCCCTTTTTTTTTGGTACCAGGAATTGAACACTGAACCTTGCGAGGCAGATATGGTGCCACTGGGCTGAATACCCAGCCCTGGCCTGAATTTCTTGCAATTCTTATTTCCTACAGAACCATTGGCTTCAATCTTATGTCCCGCAACAGAGCTGTCCTTAAATGAGCACTTCTTTTCCATGTAGTTTGGTTGCAGTGCACTGGCAACATAGCTGTCGGTGATTTGATTCCATGAATTCTTCACCCAAGCCACAGCCTCCTACAGGCTTCACAAATTTTTCATAAGTCAAGTGTTAATTGAAGACTTATGAGACAGGAATGGCAACAAAAATGATGACAGTTCAGAATGATGGTCTACACCAAAGTGAGGAAAAACTGTGGGCCCCAAGATTTAGAAAACATTTCTCTATTTCACACAGTGCCCACAGTGCATTAAGTATGTCTGTTACAACAGATGACATACTGAATTATGCGGATTCATGTTAGACACAACCACATCTATTCATTATGAGTACACGTTATTTGAATGTTACATCTCCTCTCCAATTGGTCATTTCGCAGTAAGTTTCAAGTCTCTCTCTTTACATAGGCATTTATTTCTCATCCAGAAGTGCCTGTGTGGGTATTTACACATAATTATAACTTACCACTTATTTTAAGTATTAATATCATGATTTATATTTAAGTATATATTAACATTATTTTATAATTCAACACATCTATCGTGTGTTGCAGTGGACATATTAAATGTACCTTTCTGGCTGATGATATTAACTGGGACTTATTTTGGGGGCAGGGCTTATGAGTATCCTGAAAAATCATGCTAGGGCTTCTTTTCTGGGGAGGTCTCATTTTCTGGGAAATACAGTAGATGGCATTGCTGGAGGGCTGAGTCTTTTTTATTGCTTATTCATCTTCACAGTGCCTAATAATTGGTAGATGCTTTCTTTTATTGAACTGAATGAATGAATGAGCGGATTTGTGTCCCTGTTCTTTATCCTCCACATATCTCAGTTCAAACACCGTATCTTTCTTGATATACTCCCTGGATTGACCCATGAGTTCTATAGTTTTTGTTAAACATTAAGTTATCTTATTAGGATTCTTCAGTAACCTTGTCCTCTTCTTTTACTTTCCCCAATCCCTTTAACATTATTCAGGGCTCTATAGCCTAGGAAAGGAATCATTGCTGGAGCAGCTGGCCCTGGAGTTTCGGACCTGGGTGGTATTGAGCCCTCAGCGCCTGGAGTTGGTACAGCTGCTGGGGCTGGCAGATGTGTTCACGGTGGAAGAGAAGGCTGGCCGCATCCATGCTGTGGAACACATGGAGATCCGCCGTTCTGCCATGCTGCATTGGAACCAGACTCACCCTACCATTGCTATCCTTCCCACAAGCAGGAAAATCCACATATCTCACCCTGACATCCACGTCATCCCTTACTCCGACCATTCCTCCTACTCTGAGCTCTGTGCCTTTGTGGCAGCACTGAAGCCTTGCCAGGTGGTGCCCATTGTCAGTCGACAGCCCTGCGGGGACTACTTTCCGAACAACCTGAGCCCCATGCTCTCCATTCCCCTGATTCCAGACTCTGTGCAGCAGTGTATGAGTTCCTCCTCTGACAAACCAGAGTTTCTCTGGCTGTTAAAAAACAGGTTAAAGAGGCCGAGAATCCAAGGTGTTGTGTTTGAATCTCCTCAGGAAAATACTGATAAATCTTCATCTGATAGAGACTCAAAGAAGACCAAGAAAGAAATGCTTTCTCCCTCTCCTGAGGACCTTGAGAAGCAGCCCTCCTCACATCCTTTGAGGGTCAAGAAACAGTTGTTCCCAGATCTCTGCAGCAAAGAATGGAGTGAAGAAGTCCCTTTCTGTGAGTCCCAGAAGATGGTGACTGTGTTGACCGCACCTTTGGGATTTTCAGATGAGGAGTTTCTCTCTCCAGAAACCAGGCAGCAAATAGACCTAGGGCTCCCCTTGACACCTAGGGGAGACAGTAATGGCCCAGCAGCCACAGGGAACCAAAGTGGCTGGATAGACCATGATTTTCCTCTGTTTCATAGAGGCAACACTGCTGCTTTTCTAGATACTGATTCCAGAGACCTGGCACTAAAATACCTTCTGACTCCAGTGAACTTTTTCCAGGCAGGGTTCTCTTCCAGGAGCTTTGACCAGCAAGTGGAAAAATACCATAAACCCGTACTGAAGTACAGGCAGGAGGCTACAGAATGACAACCCTGTTTGTTACAGTGCTGTAGTTTTGAAGATAGTAGCTGATAACTAGTAGCAATGGTTTGGAGCCTTACCTATCTTTTCTATTTATTTTTTGAGTACTAGGCACCCCACCACTGAGCTACATCTCTAGCCCTTTTATTTTTTGAGACAGGGTCTCACTAAATTGCCCAATTAGGACTTGAACTTGTGATCCTCCTGCCTCACCCTCCCTAAATGCTAGGATTACAGGTGTGGCCCTTATCTTTACAGGATCCTATGGGCTCACCCTGGAACAGCACTTCTCAAAACTTGTTCAATGGAGTCCCGGTACAGCTGGCTGATTTTAAAAAGAATCCTTTTCATTCTAAACTGTTCAGAGTGTGCCTGAGCACACTAACAGTTCTTAGAAGTCCTCCAGTAACCTGTTTAATTTTATCCAACCTGGTATTTCTCAAACTTTTCTGAATCTATAATCCTGTGTGGGTGTAGAAAGAATAAATAAAAAGGGACCAGGTTATTTCCACTCTTACTTTGTGTTTCATTTGCCATTTCCCATGTCTTCTTTCTCTTCCCAGATAGTTCTAGTTTTAACTTTTAAAAAATCATTTTGTTTTTTGAGACAGGGACTCAATATGTAGTTCAGGCTGGACTTGAACTCACTATGTAACCCAGGCTGGCCTCAAACTAAAGGTGACCCTCCTGCCTCAGCTTCCCAAGTGCTAAGATTACAAGCATGCACCACCATGCCTTGCCTAGTTTTTAAATTATGAACTATGGTGCTGGAGGATGAAATAGTGGCACATTCCATTCTTGAATATCTTTGACTTGCTGTGACCTTCCATCCAAGTAACTTCCTGTCTCTGCCTCTGGGAAGGAACAGGAAATGATGGAGAGGACTTGGAACAGTGGTGAAAAATTCCACCTCTGCCTCCTTCATGAGGGTTACAGTTAGTGTCACTGGGGACCCTTCTGGAGTGGAGCCAGCTTGGGGGCTGGGTACTCTTCACCAAGGCAGTAGGAGAAACCCTGCTAAACATTAAGGCTTAGGGTGTGCTCCTGGCTGCTTAGAGACACTATTTGGCTGAAATAAAGTTACAAAAGATCAAATGTGCTGCCAGATACTCCTCTGATTGTTCACATAGCTGGGATATTTTTGCCCCCCCCCCAGCTTCCTCCCCTGGTTTGAGTAGGGAGCCAGAGCACACAGCCTGTTTGTTTTAGCATCCAGGGAAAAGACCAAGGAGCCAGCTGGCTGGAAGGGCTGGGGGTGTTCAGTTCTGCCCTGTCCTTCTGTCAAAGCCTGACTAACTGCCAGACCAATAGCAGGACAGCTGATACACAGCCATGAGCAAATGGGCTCTGAAGGGCACAGACGTGGAGCTGGGCATGTAGAACAAAACTGCTTCAGTATGGAACCTTGAGCCTTAGCGAAGAAGGCTGCTTCTCACCCTAGGAGAGAAAGTTTGCTCCTCTTGGAGGGGGAAATGAATTTAGAAAGCAAAAGAAGGCCTTGCTCTTAGGGAAGCTGACACAACTCTGTTTCATCAGTGACCTTTGCTGTAATCCTCCCAAGGGCCTACCAGGAGCCATGGCAGCTGAGGCAAGTGGTGCAGCAGGAAGCCTGGGCATTGTCTGGGCTTAAATCCAGGTACCCTGGGCAAGTTGGCTAAACAGCACAGCTTCAGTTCCTCAACTGTAGAATAGGGACTGACATATCTACCTCTCACTACTGCCGTGGGGATGAAATGGTAAATTCTAGCTCAGAGTTGGTCATGTGATAGGTATTCAAATGGTTCTTGGGGCTGGGCCATAGTTCAGTGCTAGTAGACATGCATTCTTAGCATGCACGAGGCCTAGGGTTCAATACTAAGCACTACCAAAAAAAAAAAAAAAAAAGCAGTTCTCTTTAACTTCTGGCTCTTCAAAAAAAAAAATGTATATATATGTGTATATATATATATATATGTATGTATCCTATATATAAAATGAAACTGGGAATCATGTAAAAATATAAAGAAAAAAATCAATTTTAATTCTTCTACAAAGATTAGTTGGTATGATGACTAATTCTGTGCATGTTGATGTGTTAAATATATATATATATTTTTTTCAAAACTGGGAGCTGGGTATAGAGGTGCATGCCTGTAATCCCAGCACTCTGGAGGCTGAAGGAAGAGGACCGCTGAGAGTTCAAGGCCAGCCTGAATTACAGAATGAGTCCCTATCCCAAAAACAACAGCAACAAAATGGGGGTAATACTACATATAATTTTAAATTCTGCATTTTACTTTTTTAATAAGCATTTCATTATACCATTAAATATTCAGAAATGTCTTTTTTTGGGTGGGGGACAGGGACTTGCTTTGTAATGCAGGTTGGCCTGGAACTCACTATGTATCCCCTGCTAGCTTCAAACTCAAGACAATCCTCCTACCCCAGACTCCTGAGTGCTGAGATTACAGGCGTGTGTCACATGCCCAGCAAGCAATGTTACTTTTATATATATATATACACACACACACACACACACACACACATATATAAACAATGAACATTCTTAGGCATGTATCTTGGCATTTCTGTTTATTACTTAGAAAAAGTAACTGGAAGTAGGATTACTGTTTAAAGTTGTTGGTGCAAATTATGTTTAATTGCCACAGAAAGGGTTCTGTACCATTTTTTTCCTCAGAAGATGTCATTGTATATATATACACACACACACACACACACACACACATATATAAACAATGAACATTCTTAGGCATGTATCTTGGCATTTCTGTTTATTACTTAGAAAAAGTAACTGGAAGTAGGATTACTGTTTAAAGTTGTTGGTGCAAATTATGTTTAATTGCCACAGAAAGGGTTCTGTACCATTTTTTTCCTCAGAAGATGTCATTGTGACACTTTGGTTGTTTTGTCCCATGTCACTGAAGCTTCGTTAAGTTTAGAAGATATTACTGGAATGGTACGCAAGACATGGAATGTCCTCTCACGTGTTAAGGCAATAAATATTTAATATTTAAAATAATGTCATAAAAATAATATTTACTGCCTTTCTCTAAGAGTCTCTAGCTGTCTCACTTTTGCGAGACACACAGTTGGCTGAGAGAGATAAGAAGCTCTCCATAAAAGGGCCCCATGTTGGTGTTATCTTCTAGCAGCAAAGAAGCCTGTCCACTTTTGGCACATGGCACATCACATATGTTCCTCAAAGTACGGTCTGTGTCTATTTAGGTGGAGGAGCAGAAACACAAGTTGTTGGTGGTGTGTTTGTGTTTTAAAAATGAGATAATTCCATACTCTTCTTCTAAAGTAAAAATGCCTCACATAACAGATTGGCAGTTGCCTTATTTGATGTCTCAAGGCTCTTCTATATAAATGCTGTGTTGTATATATCTTTAAGCAGCCAAATAAAATTAACCTATTTTTAGAATCTAGGGATGACCCTACAGGTGTATGAAGATCTTGCAGTGCCTGGAAAAAGAAATTCCCTAGAGATTCATTAGTTATTTGTTTCATGATCAGGAGAGCTGGTACTTTTCCACAAGGAGACTGACAGTGGCTTACGTCCCTTCATAGAAAAAAGAATCCCCCTGCTACAATTTGGGGACCATCTCTCACTTCTGACCAAAACTGCCCTTTGGGGTAGGAAACAGGAGATGGTGAATTTGCTTTTTTGACAAGAAAAGCTTTTTTTGGACCTGGGTTCTCTACCCCAGTTCTCCCCAGGGAACAGTTCTCTCTGCATTCTTAGAGGGGCTCTTAAGGAAGAGAAATGCTGTGTGGGGTCCATGTGCACATATTTCGATGCTACCACTAATGTGCAGCTATCAGTCTGTTATCTGCCTCCCACTGCCCATCTACCTCAACCACCACAATCTCTTTTTTTTTCTAATTTGTTTCTTTTAAAGGATTGAACACAAGGCTGTCCCTCTGATCCCCCAGCCCCTTTTCTTATTTTGTATTTGAGACAGGGTCTTACTAGGTCACTAAGTTGCCCAGGCTGGACTCAAACTTGGAATCTCCTGCCTCAGCCTCCCAAAGTACCGGGAGTACAGGCATGTGCTACCGAGCCCAGGTTACACAAGCTCTTGTGTCTAGGGTTCGTGATGCTTTTCCTTCTTACCTAGGCCATCACACCAGTGCAGAATACTCCTCTCCCTTATTCATGTGAGTCTATGTCCACCTGTGAGGGATTCTCAGATTGGTTAAACTTGTTTTTATTTTGACCCTATTGCTTTTATTTAGCTCACCCCTTCCACCATGACTCTTTCCTGGATACTTTGTCTTCTTTGACCATGCTCTTGCCCCACTAGACCACAGAAAGCTCCCTGAATCTTGGCCTTGGTTCTTTCTTGAGCCAGTAACTTACTGAATCATCTTTCAATTACATAAACCTGGATTAGCCTTTCCCTTACAATATTTACATGTTTGTACATCATTGTATTATGGCTATTTTACCAGTCCTAATTCTAATTCTCCGACTTTTTCTTGTTGTTGTTGTTTTTGTTTTTGTTTTTTGGTACTGGGGATCGAACTCGGGTCCTTGTGCTTGCAAGGCAGGTGGTGGAACCACTGAGCTAAATCTCTGGCCCTCTCCAATTAATTTTTAAAATTAGATTATTGGTACATTTTAGGTAAACATAATGATCACATTCATCATAGTACTTGTACATTTTATATCTTAGTTCTTATTTTCTCCTATTAATTTTTTTCCATTAAGTTTATTGGTACATTTAAGGTAAACAATAGTTACATTTATCATGGAGATCTTATACCTTTACATGATGTATCTTGGTTCTTATTTTTTCCCATTCCCCTGCCCTCCCTGCACCCGCTTCACTGTTCCCTATTTACAAAGACTGTGTTTCCATTTTTTTCCTTTTTTCATATTTTTTCTTTTCCCTTTTTTCCTTTCCCCTACCCTTCCCACTTCTCCTTCTCCTTTAGACATTTTCTTCCTATTTCCCACTCTCCCATTAAATTTTTTGTTTGTTTGTTTGTTTTTTGAGACAGGGTCTCACTATGTAGTGGAGACTGACCCGGAACTCACTATGTAGCCCAGACTGGTCTCGAACTCACAGTGATCCTCCTGCCTCAGCCTCCCAAGTGCTGGGATTACAGGCGTAAGCCACCACACGCCCG